AACTTTGAAATTAACACTTCAGATCCATTGTTTCCTAACTGATTTTTCTATCAGAATAACTAACCTCCCAACAATTAACAAAAACTTCCTAAAAAACTAACTCTAACAGAATCAAAGGCAAAGAGAGGGAGAGATTTCACGATCTATTTTACACAGAACAGAAGAAACAAAAAAAAGGGGTAACAAAAAGATGGCAGAAGAGAGGGAGAGATTTAGCAGGATACAGTGTTTTACATTGAGAATTTTCACAGAGAAATAGATATACATAGATTTGCAATAAAAGAAAAACTCACCAACAAACTCTGAAATCTATCTCTCCAGATCTCTGCTTCCATTCTTCAATCTTCACCTTTCTCGAATATCAATATCCACCACAACAAATCCTTCATCCTTCTCTGCAACAACCACGACAAATCCTTCATCCTTCTCTGCAACAACCACGACAAATCCTTCATCCCTCTTGGCAACAGACTTCTGCAACCTTCAGCACAACAACAAACGCACATCATCAATCAATTTCTCATCAACGCAGCAAATCTGCAACGGCAACAATTTCAATCTCCACGCATCATCTTCTGCATAATAGAACGTACCATATTACTGTTCGCGCACAAATCCAAAAAAAACGCAAAATATGAAGGAGTAGAAAGAGGAAAAAATCAGCGAAGAAGAAGAAAACAGGAAGAAGAAACGAAATTAGAACAATAGAAGAAAACAAAGAGATTAGAGTTCAATTTTCATCGGAGAGCGTATCTTCACCTCTGTCGCCGCCGTCAAGGTTGGTTCATTACTCACCGTTTCATCGTTTTCTGACACTGTGCTGTAACTTAGGACCTGATGAATCTTTCCCCCATGGAGGCGTAGCATGAAGTTCCTTCACCGTCGTTTAATTTTCATTCTCAAATAATTAGGGTTTATGTGTTTCTGGTAGAGTTAGAATACATGAATTGGAATTGATGAAAAAAAAATTTTGTATTTGTGTTGAGAGGGTTAAGACGAAGGAATTGATATATGCGGTTGGAGTTTCTGGTACGAATGGCGGCGGTGACGGCGGTGAAGCCGCCGGTTTCTTCGGCCAGAGAAGAAGAGAACGAGTCTTGTGTGATGTGTGCTTCTTTGGAACCCTGGCTCCCCTTAACAAAACGAAACGTTTCAATCCATTTTTAATTTTAATTTTTCCCTTTTTCATATTAATTATTAATTAGAAATTGAATTGAAATAAGGAATTGACAATGTGGGACCATGTTGAAATTCGTTTGGGCTTCAATGCCTAGGTTCAGTAATTTTTTGCTTCCTATCACACCAGCATCTTAAGCCATACACCTCCCAATTGTCTCAAATTTCTTTACTTTGTTGTTTAAATTTTGCAATTAATTTCGTGAATTTTTGACATGATTTTTCTGTTGAATTTTTGCATAAGCATTAATATGTCAATCCCTGACTTGATAATATTTTTTCTATGATTTTTTCTATTATCTTAGGAATTAATTGAATTAATGTTTGGTACATGATTAGAATTAGGATTTTAACACGTTCTTGTCGATGCTGTATCTTTGGTTCAATTCCCTTGGCATGATCAATGGTTTAACGGTAGGTTCTGATACTTGAACGGTGCCTCGTCATTTTTGACGTATTTGTTCATTGTGCAAGGTACTTCTAATCATGCGTCGCATTCGCAACACGCATTAGCCTTTATCTTAGTTGGATAGTGCTTCTGACTCTGTTTGATTCTTGGTGAAGCTTGCTCGACGCGTACTCCCTGCTTTTTTCAGCGCTTTCGTCTGCTCTTGACGACTTGCTCACTTTGGTAGAGTCCGCTACAACCCTTGTACTTCTTCGCACTTTATTACTTTCTAGATATCATGAGAAGTAGGAAATAAAGAGCGTGCGCTCGAAGTCGCTGTTTAAAGACCTGTAACAGACATTCCGCACTTCATTTTCTATATGTGTTGTGCTTGTGTTTGTTTACGTTCTTGTTGATCGATGAGTCACTCAATTTAGCAATTGAGATCACGACTTCGCTCTCAGTGCATGCTCCCTATAGGATTTTATCTCTTTCCATTCTTTCTTGTTGATCGATGAGTCACTCAATTTAGAAATTGAGATCACGACTTCACTCTCATTGCATGCTCCCTATAAGATAGTTTTTTTAGACTTTTCTTCGACATGCTAACCTAGGTAGGATCCCTTTAGGTGTGCTTCTTTTTTACTTGGCTTGCTTATTTTATCCTTGTACATGCCATGTTCCCTTAGGACACGCTTGCTCCGTTCGGACGCAAGTTAGACCTTAGGTTGTAAACCATGCATGCTAACATTAGGTAGAAACTTCCCCTTTCATCCTTGACGTAGGACTACCATTGTATGATAACGTTAGGTTTAGAAATAAGCTAGTCTCCCTTAGACTCTTTTCTTCCCCTTTTGCATGTGCATTCAAAACAAAAACTTCTCTTCTTAGCAAATCAAAAACATGATAATCATAGTTAAACCCTTTTTCAAGGTAACAAAAATATAAACAAATTCAAACCATTTTGTGCGCTCGAGCACCTTTTCTCTAAAACCCTTTTCAGGTAAGGACATGATTAGTTTACTTCTGTGCGAACGCATAAGTCTCCAAAGGTCGAGCTGCGGCAGAAGGCGGAATTAACATTGTCCATAAAAAACACAAAACAAACAAAAACATATGAGCCAAACTACGGTAGCTCTGATTCCTCAAAAAGGATACGTGGGCATTGGGGTAGGGCCCAGGCGAGCACAATTTTATTTTCCCTACATTCTTTTCTCCTTTATTTTGCATGCATTCCCTTCAGTAGTACAATAAACAGTAAGCGTAGATTAAACACACCCATAAGATAGACAACAAGAGTGGATACCGTAGAGTACTACGGGCGTGTGGGGTGCTAATACCTTCCCCTCGCGTAACAGACTCCCTTACCAGATCTCTCGGTCGCAAGACCGTGACTTCTCCCTTCTCAGATTTTCTCGATGTTTACCTTTTCCCACATGTGGGATAAAAGACGTTCGATGGCGACTTTATTGTTTTGATGATTTTCAGCCGGTTGTTTCATCACGAAGTCGGATCTGGATCTGATACCACTAGTGGGGAGTTCAGAGAGTGACATGAGTAACAATGGACTAGTAATTTAAAACTCCTAAGATACTTTAACACCACATCTCAATCCAAAGCTTTAAGGAATTATGTATATGAGTCACCTCTCTTAACAATCTAATATTTTATCAATTCCTAGTCGATGCGAGACTTAACTACCCACACTTAAGACTGACAACCTTCCTTATAAATGAATTTTCTACATATAAAAGGATCAAACTCATGTTCCCCCATCAATACAAACGAGGATTATGACACCAATTGTATTAGAGTCCAAAAAAGTCGAGAGCAACAACGAGATTAATGCTACAAAAACACAAGCAAGAGAGACACCACATCCCTGTCAAAAGCCTTAAAGCATTATTATATGAATCATTAATCATGTATATCTAACATTTTACACATTAATAGGCGATTTGAGACTCAATCAATCACACTTTAACTCAACAATCTTCCCCATAAATGTGAGTTCCTACCATTTATAACATGACCCAACACGTGATCCAACTCCCTCTTTCCTCCACCAAGAAGAACCACTTGTTTTCACTTGTGTTGAAAAAATAACTCCAAACACAAGAAAGAGGAGGGGTGAATGTTGTTATTTGGATTTCAAAAGCTTTTTCACAAAAATGATTGATTAAAATGATTTATATTAGAATCAGATATAATAAGAGATTAAGCAGCGAAAAAAGATAAAAAAGAAAGAAATATAAAGATAGGGTAAGAAAGATCACACAAGACATTATCTTAGTTTGACTTTAAAATACGACCTACTTCAATCTCTAAGAGTCTCTAAAGATTTAAATTAAAAAATAACTTGAGCTTTTACACAGGTTTAACCCAACAAACTTAAACAACTTGAGATTTTGCACAAGATCAGCCCAAAAACCTTACATAAACAACTTGAGCCTTTACATAAGATTAGTCCAACAACCTTAAACCACTAGAGTTTTTTTTTGCACGAGATCAACTAAACAACCTTACACAAACAACTTGAGTTTTTACACAAGTTTAACCCAACAACCTTAAACCAAGATTTTTAAAGGTTTAACTTGAAACCTTCAAATATATTACAAGATCACAAGAGAACTATACTTTGAATAAATTTTTTAGCAAAATAGTAAAATACCACAACTCTCAGATGAAAATTTTCACTCTCTTAGTATTAAGACAATGACTAGTGGATAAAACTTATAAAAGAATGAGAATACAAGAGATATAAGAGATGATTATTAAAATAATTTGGTGTTTTTAGAAGTGAGGAAAGTTTTTAGAAGACATTAATCTGCAGAAGATATAGTATCACAACTTGTTAGGGGAGTCTGGGAAAGTCAGGAATAACAATGAGTTCAATAGAAGAGATCGAACTCGATTCAAATTTATTGAGGAATAGAAGAGATTTTTAATACTGAATCAAAGACACAGAGTCTCACACCATTGATGGAGTGATGTGTGATATGTAAAGTGTGACTTAAATTAAAATTCCATGTTGAATGAGAAGAATGTGACTAGGTATGTTATTAATGAGAAATGAGAAGGTTTATATATCTCATATCTTAAAATTTTAGAAGAAAATGTGGTGTCAATGACTTATGTGGTTGCTTTTAACCTAATGTTTTGATCCAACCCAATGAAACTCCCTTTGAAGTTTCAACAAAGATAAGTTGGTTTCTTTAACACAATCCAATTGGCAGTATGACGCTCTTGAACACCAAAAGTGAAAATCTAGTGCCAACTTTGAATTTAAAGATTCCTTTAATTTTTACAAAATTACAACTGAATGGCCATTCAAAGATCAAAAGCAGAAAAAAGGTATAACCAAATCCTATTGATCAATAATAGTGTAGCTTAGGCATAAAATGATACATATGATTTGTTATTGGTAGTTTGATGGCTAGTCATAATCCTCAGGATCAGCAAAAGGATACTTATAGTATGCATTTCTTACTTTTGAAGGATCTTCAGGTATAGACCAAGGATACTTCATGTCTGGATCCCTTGGAAACTTCCTGATGTTTAGAAACGGTACCCAAAGAAGCAGCCTACATTACAAACAAAACTAAATATTAATCACGTGCAACTTGTTATAACTAATTTAATAATCACTTATAAGAGAAGAAACACTTACGCTGGGAAGAAAATGAAGACAAACATGAACTGGAAATACATTTCAACAAGCTTTCTTCTGTACCATCTTTTCCAAAGCCAATACAAAATCAATGGCTGCAATATTATAATTCATTTATTATGCTCTCACTGGAGCAAACTTGATAAGCTGTGAAGTGAATTAAAACTTACTGGTGCAGTGATGAAGTAGAGAAAAGAAACAATTCCCAGTTGTATCAAAATCCATGAGAGTTCTTGTGGATTATTATTATCTCCAGTCACTGCTAATGCTGCTGGATGCTCAGCCTATAATTTAGAGACACAATATGAAATCTCTCTGTAATATATATATTTGAAAGAGTAGCAAGGGTTGAAAATTTCACCAAGGCCAAGAGAAGTGCTCCTATGGGCAGTGCCAAATTTGGTTTCTTTAGAGTGACATGATCATTTGGCTTTTGGCTGTTGCATTTTACTATATGCAATTGGTTGGAAGGAGTTGTAGTGTTGTTGTATGGTTTGTGTTTGGAAGAAATGAAGAGAGAAGGTGATGATGATGAATAATAGGGGAGAGGAGGTAGAGCTTTGGGAACATGGAGGCTGAATGAGCAGCTCATTTTTTGGTTAGAGCTTTTTCTTAGATTGGTTCCTTATCTTTTTCATGTTTGGTTCCATGGCAATGAGTGAATGAGTGAATGATAAAATTCATAATGACACGTGGAAATGAGACTCATCCACCACTATTCCCATTGCTTATTGTCCATTCATTCAAGTTTGGAAGTAGAGATTGATAAATAAAAAAAGGTTTGGAAGTAGAGTAATAAAATTTGTTTGTCATGTATGGTTTGAGTTGAAAAATAAATTTAATAATAATGGTTAGACTTGAAATGTTAAAAATAAATTTAAATTTAAATTGATGTCAAAGATAAAATAAATTATGAAATAACTATTTTTATAATGTAAGGTCTATATAAGTTTTATCTAAATCAAGGTTAAAAAGAGTGTTAAAAAGTCTCTTTAATATTTATCATGAGTTTATTTATTTAAATTAAAAAGATGAATTATTTTTGTAGATGAACACACATTGATCTAGTGAGTTGTTTTGGTATTAATTTTATTAATAACAACTCAGCGGTAATATATATTTTTATCCATTCTCTAATGTAAGATTTTTTAAAGTATTCTGAAACAACTTTTAGACATCCACCGTACATTATTCTCAAATCCTATAATTAGTTTTAGTCATAAATTTTTTTATTAGTTAATGATATTGAACAATAACATTGAAATCTTCTAAAATATATAAGCCACGTATTTTAGTCCATTTAAATATGCTCATTGAAATCTTTTTAACAAGTAAAATATTTTACCTTTGACTTATCAAACCTTTCTCGTTAAGACATTCCTTTATACTCACTTTCTCCTCATGACACTCAAGCATTTACCACTATCGTCAATCTTCACATATTTTATCATTGATTTTTTTTTTTTGGATCTCACAATCGTCTAAACTTCATCCAACGTAACAATACATTCCTTACCATAAAAAGGCATCTTTGAAGTACTCAAAGAATCTGAACAATGATTTTAACAAGAGTAAACCATTTATCTCATCATCAATCTTCACCAATATTCTCAAAATCGTCAATAAACTTGTGAAATTCTCTCAACTACTCCACTATAGATTTGTTCTCTACCATTCGAAATGAGTAGAATTGTTATTTTAGACACAACTTGTGAATCAAATACTTAGTCATATATAATGATTCAAGTTTTCCTACATCAAAGCCACAAGCTTCTACCTAGATACTTCCCTTACTACTTTAACTCTAAGGCATAAGAATATGGCACACCATGCCTTATTCATAATCTCATTCTTCTCTACTTATGTTAAGCGTGCATGCATCGATGTTTCACCCTTAAATTCTTCAACACACTTATCTTGAGTCAAAATTGTTTGCATCTTCGTTTTTCACAATCCAAGATTATTGTCTCCAAAAATACTCTTGATCTTCCATTTACCCATGATGCTGACTTGTAAACAATATCGTTTTTTCCTATGGTGGATGCCACTTTTTAAGATAAAAATATAGAATAAATCAAAGCAATTTAGAATATTTATTCAGAGTTTCAAACATACCAATAAATTTGATGTGTGGGAACAAAGAACAATGACAACAACAAAAAAGGCTTAAAGCAACACAATAATCTTCCAAAAGTGAAAACGAATCCACAGCAAGGCAGAAGAAAATAGAAGATGAAAAACATAATAACTTGTTTATCCAATTTGATCAAACGATCTACCCTGTGAGAGAGAGATGATCTCTAATTAACTATACTTCCTTGGATTAATACAATATATTAGAAAAGATTTACAAGAAAATAGTCACCAAAATTCCCAAGAATAAACCTTATTTTCTACTCAAGTGTTTCCCAATATCTTCAACTCTCTATATATGAATCACACAAACCCAAGGTGTTTAGAATTATTTCTCCATCCTCTAGGATACCTCCAAAGATTTTCCAAATTCTAAGAACTCAAGAGATTTCAACCTCTCCCTCTCTAAGTTTATCGAGGATTCCTAACCCTTCTCTTTGTCTTTAGTTGTAAAATTTTGAAGAATGTTTATGGAAGAGTGATAGAGATACATATTTATAAATGTTGAAATCCAAATAGTTTTAAAACTATTCTAAAACTAATTTTTCCATTCATTTTATTCATGATAATTACATTCACCAATCACATATTTATAAAATTGGCATAAGTCAATTACTCAATATCTAGATCCTTCTAAAGAGTAGTGACATAACCACCATGTATCCTTATCACATGCTTCATACAACTTGAGCCTATTAATTACTATATTTAGATTATTACATTCCACCAATCTTGGGAAAAAAAACATATTGTCCTCGAGGTGAAATTTGAGAGTCAAGTCCAATTGAAAATGAAGAAAATTATAGTGGTGGATGATCCAATTTGAAAAGATCTAATTAAGAACAAATTTCACATCAACCAAGCCAATATAATTCCAATTCTTAATCACATTTCATAGTTCATAATGAATTTCAAATGCAATTGTATATGCACCCTTATTAATCAAGAAGATTATGCTCTTCTGTCCACATCTCAACATTATGGACAAATCATGTGTTGCCACTTGAAAGCTTCCATCACCAATGCAAGCAATCACACGCTTATCAGGAACAACTTGTGCCTAACTGTGATACGGTGGGAAAACTGACTTGGGTGTTTTGTGTTTGATTGCAAATGTTGCGGTTAGCAAGAGTGTCCACCGACTTTTCTTTTATCCAAAAGGAAATGTGAAAAAGCACAGGAAGGACCTTTGAGATTATTTCTTGAGTTCGGGGGGTAGATTATGAAAAGGGAAGATATTAGCACCCTTTTCATCCATGGTTTTCCATGGACTCTTAGTTACTTGCTAGATCACTTGCTTTTGTTTGAAATTTTGCTTTGTGTGGGTTTTGAAAGTATTTTGTAAAGAGGCCATTGTTTAGGAAATCTTTGTAATGATTCTCGTTCGTAAGAATGTATACAAAGATGTTTGATCTTTTGAAAATATTTTCAAGTTTGTAAGAGGTTTTGAAAGTGTGGGTGTTTGTTTTTGAAAATAGAAAGGATGTTTTGTTTTGAAAGTGAGCAAGTAACTAGGAACATTCTACCTACTCAAAAGTCTTTCATGTTCATTTCGATTTTCCTTTGATATTGTTATCTTACCATCGATTTAGTAAGTAACTCTATCTTTAGATGTAAACGGAACGGGCGTGAGTCATTGTATAAACATGATTAGCAACGTTTCAAGGTATCTTAGCATTCTCTTTTAGGGACTAAGATCATTTGAAATGAAACTTAGATAGCGTCATCGAGGGACTATGATCTTATACTTTACTTGTTTTTGCTAAGATACCTCACATGCGTAATATGGCCATTTTGTAAAGGCAACCAAGTGGATTTACCCTAGGGGTGTTTATGTGAAAGTGTATTGTTTTCATGCTTGATTTTATCTTGAATTAGGGTTTTCTAAGCATTGGTTTTAGTCTTTCCATACAAACCCTAATTACTAACATTTGTATATAAAACGATAAATTGCAAATTTAAAATTACTACGCTATTACAATACTTGTGGGAGGGGGTGTACAAATTATAAATGGGGATTGCAAGAAAATAAACCTAGTTAATCTATTACAACCATATTGAATTGGTACAAGAATTGAATAAATAAATGTACAAAACTAGATAAATATGCAAGAATGTAAATGCAAAGAAAAATAGATATTTGTTTGATTTTTTATGAGAAAAGGGGTTTTTGATTGAACCTAATTAATTAAAAGAAAATAATTAATTAAAATAATAAAAGTAAACCTAATTTTATTAAGAAAATATTTTAAATAGAAACCCTAAATCTATTAATTGATAAAAAAGAAATTAAGTTTTAAGAAAAGTATTTTTGGTATTTTTTTGTCTTGAAAATAATTTATAGGATTATAAAACATTTTTGGCCTTTTTTATATTAAAATAATATATTTTAATTGGTGTAAAAGAAAATAAATAATAACCTAGTTTTAATTAAATTTACAAGAATAATTAGTAAAATAAATAAAGTATGGCTAAATAAAATATATTTTTGTGAGAAAAATATATAATCTAAGTCAAAATATAAATCTACTATTTTTATATTATTTGTGACTTTTTTTTAATATTAGAAAAATAATTAAGAAAATAAATAAAATTAAAATTAAAATAAAATAAATAAAATAAAATTAGGCCAGGGGTGTTAAAAATAGTCAGGAGGGTGGAAGGCTAGCAAAAATAACAAGGCCCAACTGTTGAGACCCAGCGCATCTGTTGTGTGACAAAAACAAGAAAAATGTGAAAAAAAGAGGAAAAATGGCAGCGCTGGGGCTTGAATCCACGCCCTTAGCATGAAACGCGCGCTGCCTTACCACTGGGGTGGCTATACATCTGTTGATATAAACAAAAAAATAAATATATAATACAAAATGCGCCCTGATTACACTTCATCTTCAACCTCCAGCCAAATGACTTGTAACTTCATCATTTCTCAACCATTCATAAAACTTCCAACATCAAACTTATTAGAAATTTTCTCACGATTCTGAATATGTAAATAACTTGAGCTAATTCTAAAAAATGAGCATGAATTTCTAATGGTACCAAATCCTGACCTAAATATTTTTCAGAGGTTCATATTCAAAATTCTAACTACTCAAGCAACAATAATGAAATCTAAGGACATGGTTAGCTTTAGGACAATGATATCTACATTTCTTATTCACAAATAAACATTAATGATGCTTGTATGAAGAGTTCAAAGTTAGGAAAACTTACCTCAAACCTGGAAATCGTGTTTTGAGTTTGAGCTTGTTTTAAGTGATGGTGATGATCAGGTTAGCTTCCTTGAGGTCCCAGGAAGCTAGTGCAATGATTAGCTTGAGCAATGGATGGATGAAATGGCCTGGAGTAGTCCAACTGAAATGCTCTATTTTTGATTATGGAAGTTGATAAAGATAAAGTTATAGTTTGCAAATAGGGACAGGGATGGTTTGTATTTGGTATGAGGAAGCTTTTGAAACA